CACACTGTTTTCCATAGTACTGGCACCAATAAGCAATCCTACCAACAGTGCACAAGGGTTCCCTTTTCCCTACATCCTTTCCAACAGTTGTTTGTTGATTTATTCATGACAGCCATTCTTACGGGATGAGATAATATCTCATTGTGGTTTTAATTTGCATTTCTCTGATGATTAGTGATGTTGAGCATCTTTTCATGTGTCTATTGGCCATATATATGACCTTCTTGGAGACTGTATTCAGGTCCTCTGCCTATTTTTTAAATTGCATTGTTTTTTTGGTGTTAAGTTGTATGAGTTCTTTATAATTTTGGATATTAGCCCCTTATTAGATGTAACATTGGCAAATATCTTCTCCCATTTGGTAGGTTGTTTTTTTGTTTTGTTGATTGTTTCCTTTGCTGTGTAAAATCTTTTTAGTATGATGTAGTCCTATTTGTTTATTGTTTCTTTTGTTTCTCTTGCCAGAGGAGCTAGATTAGAAAAATTAAATGTTACTAAGAACAATGTCACAGAGTTTACGGCCTATATTTCCTTCTAGGAGTTTTGTGGTTTTAGGACTTATATTAAGTCTTTAATCCATTTTGAGTTTATTCTTGCATGTGGTATAACAAGGTGGTGCGCTCAAGTCTATTCTTTTTGCTATTTTTTTTTTAAGCTGAGCTATCCTGCCACCTGTTGGCAGCTCAGTAGCTGCTCAGCTCGGGTCAGGACTCAAACTGCTGTTGCTCAGAGCTCAAACTCTTGAGCGAGCTCTTAATCAACTGAGCTACTCAGCCGGCCCTGCAGTTTCATTTTTTGAATGTATCTGTCCAGTTTTTATAACACCATTTATTGAATAGACTCTTCTTGCTTCCTTTGTCATAGATTAAATGACCATATAGGCACGGGTTTATTTCTGGGAACTCTTTTCTGTTCCATTGATCAATGGCTCTGTTTTTATGCCAGTACCATGTTGTTTTGATTACTATAGCCTTATACTATATAATTTGATATCAGGAAGCATGATACCTCCAGCTTTGTTCTTCTTTCTCAAGGTTGCTGTGTCTATTTGGGCTCTTTTGTGGTTCCAAATAATTTTAGGATGATTTGTTCTAGTTCTGTGAAAGATGCCATTTATATTTTGATAGGGATTGAGTCTATAGATTGCTTTGGGTAATATGGACATTTTAACAATGTTGATTCTTATTCGTGAACACAGTATATGCTTCTTTTTATTTATATTTCCTTCAGTTTCTTTTTTCAATGTCTTATAATTATCTGAGTACAGGACTTTTACCTCCTTGGTTAAATTTATTCCTAGGTATTTTATTTTTTTGATGTAATTGTAAATGGGATTGTTTTCTTCATTTCTCTTTCTGATATTTCATTATTGATGCGTAAAAATGCAACCTAATTCTGAATATTCATTTTGTATCCTGCTACTTTGCTGAATTTATCAGTTCTAATAGTTTTTTAGTGGAATCTTTGGAGTTACCTATATATAGTATCATGTCACTATATATGACATGTTATGGTAAT